TCTTCTTCTCTTCTTTTCCGGCTGGTTCTGCCTTATCTCACCCTCCTCTCTCTCTCTCTCTCTCAATCTGCTCCTCCCTTCAGGCAGGTGGCTTCATGGACATGTTTGGCATGATGAACGACATGATTGGAAACATGGTAAGTTCTCTTAGTTTGCCTCCCTGTCCCCCCAAAGCCCTCTCATTGCTGGCACTCCCCTAGGTAGGACCGCTGCCTCGTGGAGTCAGAAAGGAGGGAGATGAGATAACAGGAAGGCATTCTTTCCGTCGCTTTTCCTTTTTACAAGACATGTTGCCAAACTCCTTTTTGCTTGAGAGGAAGCACAGTCATCCCAGAAAGAGGTTTGATATGCCATCTTTTCCTTTCCCCGTGGTGTTGTAACATAATGCAAGGGATTTGTGAGAGGGGAATCCTTTTAACTGTAAAACAGCAAGCTCTTTTTGCAGCGAGTGTTTGGATTTGGGGGCGGCTGCAGGGGGAGGGGGGGTTGAAGCGTAGGAGGTGAAAAGGCTGGTGCACGTGCTGCGAAAGGGAAATGTCGTTTTTGGCTTTGCCCGGCTGCAGGGACATGTTTGGCATGATGAACGACATGATTGGAAACATGGTAAGTTCTCTTAGTTTGCCTCCCTGTCCCCCCAAAGCCCTCTCATTGCTGGCAGTCCCTAGGTAGGACTCCTGTCTCGTGGAGTCAGAACAGAGGGAGATAACAGGAAGGCCTTCTTTCCGTCGCTTTTCGTTTTTACAAGACATGTTGCCACACTCTCCTTTTTGGTTGAGAAGGAAGCACAGTCATCCCAGAAAGAGGTTTGATACGCCATCTTTTCCTTTCCCCGTGGTGTTGTAACATAATGCAAGGGATTTGTGAGAGGGGAATCCTTTTAACTGTAAAACAGCAAGCTCTTTTTGCAGCGAGTGTGCAGGGAGTGTTTGGATTTGGGGGGGCTGCAGGGGGGGGGGGTTGAGGCGTAGGAGGTGAAAAGGCTGGTGCATGTGCTGCGAAAGGGAAATGTCGTTTTTGACTTTGCCCGGCTGCAGCACACTGTAGAGTTGCATGATGCGTAGGCGCGTGGCGAGCCCTACAGCCGTAGCTGCGAACTTGCTGGGTGTCGGTGACCAGATTTCTTTCTCCTTTTCTTCCTGTCCCAAGCAGCCCCGTAGCCAGAAATTTTGGGTTTGCCGGCAAGGCTCCCTCTAAGCTGTGGAGTCCCGTGAGCAAAAATTCTACTTGGTGAGCTCCTGGCATTAAAGTTGTGAGTGAGCAATTTGGCTACTGCATAAATTAGTTTGCTCTGGATCCATCCTTCCTGAGCTAACACAAAAATGTGTGAGCCAGAGGCTAAAAAACTATGAGCTAGCTCACACTAACTCAGCTTAGAGGGAACACTGGTTGGTGGGGCATGGGGAAATTTTGTGGGGCAGCGGGGGGGGGAGAGGGGCGGTCACGTGCTAGCCCCTGCTAGAAAAACAGCATTTAAAACGTTTAAAATGCTGTTTTTCTAGCGGTGGCTGCCCGTGCCTGATCTCCAAGCGGCAAAATCGCCGCCTGGAGATCAGGGAAGGCATGCGGCTTGTAGCCGCCCCTCTCCCTCCCCTCCTGCAAGATCAGCTGGAAGGCCCTTTAAATCTTGGAGGTGGGGAGGGAGAGGGGTGGCTGCAAGATTTAAAGGGCCTCTCCAGCTGATCAGCCATGTGCTCCCACAAATCAGCTGGAGAGCCCCTTTTAATGTCACGGGAAGGGGGAGGAGTAGAGGGGCAGCGGCTGTTGTGGGGCGTGCCTCACATTTGAGGGGGCGGAGCCCCGAAATGCCCGTAGCTACAGGCCTGGTCCCAAGAGAGCCTTGCATCTAAGGCTGTGTATAATGTGATACCTGGAATAGAATTTAACTCCTGAGAATCTCTTGCTTCTTTTGAAAAATCAAGTTTCTAGCCCTTATGGCTTTTAAGATGTGCTTGAAAATGAGTGGATGGTACCTGCTTAAAAGAGGCAGGATTCCTTTTTTTAAAAAAATTGGTTCAACATTTGAATTGCCTAGGAACAGGGTTTTCAAAAAAATAAAATAAAATCCCAACTCCAACCCCAGAGTACATGTTGCCTTTTGTGGCTGAGATGGAAATAATTCCGCCATCTGGTTCTTCTTGAGTGCTTTGCCTTTTTCGCGAGTCTGTGTGTTCCTCATTCAATCCCCTGGAGTGGCGCTGGAGAAAAAGAATAGTCATATCCTCCAAGTTTTTCAAGAAAAAATGGTCTGGGGGGGGGGGGGGGTGAAACTCAGTCTCGGCAGGAGCCGTGCCTTCTCTGTTGGATCGCTCACTTGTTTCCCTCGACTCCTCGGCTTGCTTCTAGGAGCACATGACCAGTGGAGCCAACTGCCAGACGTTTACCTCCTCGACTGTCATATCGTACTCAAACCTGGGCGAAGGGCCTAAAGTTTACCAGGAGACGTCAGAGACGCGCTCTGCACCGGGCGGGGTGAGGAAAATAAGCTGCGTTTTGTGGCTGAAACGTTAAAAGCCCCAACGTGGCGAATGTGTCTGAGTGGGATCTGGAAGGTCTGAGCCCATCTCCTGCCCACTTGCTCAGTGGCCTTGGGTCAGTCTCACACACCCTCAGCCTCACGGACCTCACAAGGTCGTTGTGAGGATAAGACTCGGGAGGGGAGAATGATGTGAAAAGCCACTTTGGTTCCCATCTGAGAGAAAGGCGGGGCTATAAATGAAACTGGCCCCAAGGGATTGGTAGTTTTGCTGGGTGTCACTTCAAGGGCCGGTAGACATGGTTCAGGGTTAGAGGTGTAGCTTGTATCCTAGTGTGGGAATAACCCTTCTGCAGAGAAATGGACAGCAATTATTAGAGTTGCCCTCGTGTGCATTGGGGGAGCAACTCTGTACGTTCAGGTAGCGTAGTGGTGAAAGCATCATCATCATCGTTATATTAAATTTCTGGATCTCCCAGTCCTTGAGTACACAAGGCTCTGGGCGATTTACAACCGTTAAAAACAATATAAAATCACATACTAAAATCAACCATCAGTCCTAATTTAGTAGTCTCCAGATGGCATCCATAATTTAATCCGAAACCTACTCAGGAGCAGTGTTCCCTCTAAGCTGAGTTAGTGTGAGCCAGCTCACAGTTTTTTAGCCTCTGGCTCACAGATTTTTGTCTTAGCTCAGGAAGGATGGCTCCACAGCAAACTAATGTATGCAGCCAAATCGCTCGCTTATAACTTTGATGCCTATAGCTCACAAAGTAAAATTTTTGCTCACAAGACTCCACAGCTTAGAGGGAACATTGCCCTGGACTGTTCTTCTATCTAGTGGGCAGGTTAGGAAGGAGGCCGAAGCGGGCAGAATGGAAGAAAAGCGGGCTCCAGCCATGATGGAAAACCGTCGCTGTCCTCAACCAAAAGCCCAGCGGAACATCTCTGCCTTACAGGGCCTGTGGAATGGCATTAAGTCCCACGGGGCCCTGGTGGAAATTGGCAGAGTTCCACCAGGTCGGGGCCAGGGCCGAGAAAGCCCTGCCTCTGGTCGAGGACAGCCGGATATCTTAAGGGCCAGGGATCACCAGCCAATTGCTGTCAGCAGACCGTAGCACTCTCCCGGGGACATACCAGAGGAGACTAGGAGCCAAGTTCAGATCCCCACTGTGCCACGAAGCTCTCGGAGTAGCCTCGGGCAGTGACAGTCTCAATCTAATTTATCTCACAGGTGTGATAAGGATGAAATGGGGGGAAAGGAGACCACATACTGAGCCGCTTGGAGGATTGGCCGGGTTCTAGACTGAAAAGATTCTTCCCCAGCAAAACTGCAGAATGTCAGAGGAGGCTTTAATAAGGTTCTAGTAACACACCTACAGTGATGACCGGGTAGATACCGTAACGTATCTACAGCGGCGACCCCTTTTCTCCTGTCTCCAGATCCGGGAGACAAGGCGGACGGTACGAGACTCGGACAGCGGCCTGGAGCAGATGTCGATCGGGCACCACATCCGGGAGAGGGCACACATCATGCAGCGCTCGCGTAACCACCGCACGGGGGACCAAGAGGAGAGGCAAGACTACATCAACCTTGATGAAAGTGAGTGTCCTCGCGTCACCTCCGCCATCCCTCGGGGGGGGAGGGCGCGTTCCCCACCTCCGCTCGCCCTCCCCCTTTTCGCCCTCCCCCACTCGACCGCTCCCTTTCCAGGCGACGCAGCCGCATTCGACGACGAGTGGAGACGAGAGACGTCCCGCTACCGGACGCAGAGAGGACTGGATTACCGGCGTCATGAGGGAAGCAACGGCCGCCGGGCGGAGGGGACCCGTCTCGCTATTCAGGGACCAGAGGAGTCGCCGACCAGACAGTCCCGCCGGTACGACTGGTGAATCCAGAGCAGACTTAAGGGGGGGTGCGATGCGGTCACCCCCAAATCTACCTTCATGTTCTTGTAAGTCTTAACGGTTGCCCCTCACGCGCACGCTGTGCCAGTGTATGATTTCCCCGGCCCCAGTATTCTCCCAGGCTCCTCAGAGGAGCTGCCGGGGTGGCCACTCTCGGTATGACATGACTTTATTTTGGTGCACGTCTGTAGTCCTTGTTTTTTAAGGTCTCCTTAATCATATCATGCTAGCCCAGGTGTGTGTGGGGGGGAAACAGTGCCTAAATACACGCACCCCCCTCTCCCACACGCCCCCGCTACAATGGCAAACTGAGCTTCAGGACTTGTACGGCAGGAGAGATTTAAGTGCGTTTCCAGCAAACCTGACTAAAATGTGATTAAACAGAAGGCGGAGATTTCTTTGGAAGGTGGTTGGTGGCTCTTTTGTTTTTTTACGTTCTTCCCTTTCGTTTGCGAGAGGCAGATGTGTGGGGGAACCGGTGAGAATGAAGGCTTATTTGCGAGGGGGTTGGACGTTTTTGTTCGGGGGAAGGTTCTCTGTACAACAAAATAAAATGTTGAGAGGAAAAACCTCCGATATGTGGATTAACCTGCTGGCTCGCTGGTGTAATTTTGTGTCGGAAGCGAAGCACGTTGGTGTCCCGTGTGGCCCTTGGACAAGGAAGCCATCGGACAACTCCGCGCACGTCACTCTGTGCTATACGGAAAACCAAGGTGCCTTACAGCAATGGGTGCAGGCCACAGTTCCCTCTAAGCTGAGTTGGTGCGAGCTAGCTCACAGATTTGTAGCCTCCGGCTCACAGATTTCTGTCTCAGCTCAGGAAGGATGGCTCCAGAGCAAACTGATTTATGCAGCAGCCAAATCGCTCGTTCACAACTTTAATGCCAGTAGCTCACAAAGTAGAATTTTTGCTCACAAGATGCCACAGCTTAGAGGGAACATTGGTGCAGGCCCAATTGGGTTCTGTACACTTTCCAGCCAGGACTGAACCACAGAGAGTATCGCAGGCTACAACTGCTGCTTTTTCCTTAAGCCCTTGCCTCTCCCCCCCACACACACACACAAAGGACCTTTTCTCCACTTCCGTTAAGGCAGATTTCTCCATAGCTAAGGGTAGACTGACTTAACAGATTTGCCCCCTACTTTACCCCACCCTCGGAAGGTAGTCTTAAGTGCAGCTTAGTTAAGAGTGCACAGGGGTGGCTTGAAACTGGACGGAAGGGGTTGTCACTGCTTCCCACTTGGACCTCTTGGAGTTACAACGTCTTGAAGCGTTGCTGTGAAGAAACCTCTTGGGTGCAGAACCAGAATCCCGGGAAGGGCAAGGGTATGGACAGGAAGGCAGTGCACTTGTAACGATGTCTGAAATGAGGTATCTGAACTGCCCGGGGGATCGCCTGACTCCGGTGGCAGGAGATGCACAACCCTCTTGAAAACTGGATTTGAACAGAGGGCTTCCTTCCAGCTGGGGCTAACTTGTGTCTGGGCTGTACCACTTCAGCCTACAGGGGGAGACTCACATGGTGGGATTAAAAAATAAAAATAGTTTTATATCTATAATTATGGCTGAGGGGAAGATGAATTCTAGCCTACTGAGGGGAAGGGAAGTGGCTGAGGGGAAGATGACTGAGGAGAAGATGACAACTGAGGGGGGGAAGTGAATTCTAGATGAATTATAGTCTGTTGTTGCTGATCTGCTAACTTTCTGTGTGAGAAGACCCCCCCCCACGAGTTACACAAGTCCCCACCTGAAGTGGTATAGCCCCTTCAGAGTTAACCCCTAGGCCCAAGTCACCAGACCTCCTGCACTGAATTTTCCATTTTCTTATTCCTTCTGCGTTTCCTTTCTGTTCCCTCTTTTTTTCCTGATTTCTGTTGTTTCTCTCCTTCTATCCCTACCTTTCTGCCCAGGTACAGACAGTGAAACTCTGATGGCGAAGCCCCTACCAAACCGTCACTTTTGGACCTTCCACGAGTCGAAAACTAGCTTCCTGCCCTCCCCCCTCACCTAAGATTTAAATTGACTAACCATCTCGAGGCAGCGTTAACACTCTTTGCGTAGAGCAGCTGGCCGAGGGAAATGATGTCGGGGACTTTGTCCGTGAATGAGTGACGCGGTGATTTGACTTGGTTCTCTTCCCTCTCGATTCTCTCCCTGCCTTTTCATTGACCCACCCCTCCGTCTGTCCCTTCCCCCTTTAGTGTTTTGGAGGAGATGCGGGAATGATTCCCCTTGAGTCTCTTGGCACCCCTTCTGTATCTCCTGCTTCCAAGTTTTGGCTGGTTCTGGAGTTTGCATTTAATCAAACCCCCCCCACCCACCCACCCCCGCCAGCAGCAGCCCCCATAGGCAAATCTTACTGACTTGCTATTAGTTTCAAGCACTTGGAAATAAACCTTCTAGTTGCCTCCGCTCTTGTCCCGCCAGCCTCCCCTGGGAGTGTGGGGTATGTGTGAAAGGTCGCAAGGGATTTTGGGGGGTGGGGGGGTGAGATGCGGACAAACCAAACAAGCCCTACCTCTCTCAGCTCTCTCTCCCCCATCTTATAAAAAATCTGATTTGGATTTTTTTTTTCTGTTGCGAAACTTGTAACTAGATGTTTACCGAGTTGAATAAAGAAACGGAACCTGTAAAAGCGAATGGCGCCTGCCTCCTCTTTGACGGTGCTCTGGGGGAGGGAGTGGAGGGAGACGGTTCGACGCGGAGCCGTGGTTCTTAGAACACCGGGGCCTTCGAGGTCTGTCCCGCCTCTCGCCGGACCAAGCACTCTGGCAAGCTGTTTGTGTTTGTTTTTTTAAGTGTGCGGACTCTAAATCTGGGAGAATTGGGTTTGATTCCCTACTCCTCCACTTGCACCTGCTGGATGACCTTTGGCAAGCCACAGTTCTGTCAGAGCTGTCCTTGAGAAAGTACAGTTTCTGTCCCCGCTCTCTCAGCCCCACCTACCTCACGGGGTGCCTGTTGTGGGGAGGGGAAGGGAAAGGAGTTTGTAAGTTGCTCTAAGACTCCTTTGGGTAGTGAAGGGCGGGGTATAAATCCAATCTCCTCTTCTTCTCCTTTTACTCTTTCTTCGTAGTGTGTGAGGCTGTGTTTGCAAGAGAGAAGCCTCGACGCAAGGGAGAGCGACCTCCAGCTTGCGTACTGACCGTGGCATACCAGACTTGTTCAGCACCCAGGGACAAGCCTCTGGCCAGGCAAGCAAGGCACTAGGAGCGCTGCTGGGGCCAGCCAGTGGTGGTGGGGAAGGAAGGCAGCGAGCATGGCTTAGGGCCGTTGTTGCCGTACGGCCACCAGACAAGCCCCTGTGACAGCCGGGGTGTGGCTGGCTCCAAGCATCTCTGGCCAACTCCTGCCCTCGCCTCCCCCCCACCCCAGTTTCATTTGCTGCCACTTCAACTTCTTCACAGGGACGTGTTGTGGTGGGCAGTGTTCCCTCTGAGCTGAGTCAGTGTGAGCTAGCTCACCATTTTTCAGCCTCCGGCTCACACATTTTTGCCTTAGCTCAGGAAGGAGGGCTCCAGAGCAAACTGATTCATGCAGTAGGCAAGTTGCTCGCTCACAAGGCTCCGCAGCTTAGCAGGAGTGTTGGTTGTGGGGGAGACTTGATACCAACAGGTTTCCTGCTCCCCTCCTGTGACCGAATGTGAGCAGCGCTGTATTTTTGGCTTCTGACATTTGTCGCATCCAATCTTCCTTCAGACCAGGAGGTCTTATGAGGATGGCTTAGATTTCCACTCAGACACTCGAGTGTTGGCGAGCGAAGCTGTTGCCTGTCACAGACTTTACATGCCAAGCCATTGAGCCTCCCCCCCCCAAAGCACCTCCAACAGTATTTCATCTATGAAACATGGAAGTTGCTCAAACACTATCGACTGGGTTAGCCAGTAGAGCCCCCCCTGACGGTAGTTTGAAGTCAGAAGTAGCAGAATACTTGTGGAAGAGTATATACAGTTTATTTACAGAGCTATATATAAGTACATACATGCAGCCTTGCAGCAGTTCACAGGACTGACTGACAAAGTGCTTCGCTGAATATCCAATCATTAGACAGGGTACTTGGTCAAGAACCTTTCTCAATATATACATCTGTTGACCAATCATTGTTCAGCACTGTACAACTGCTTAGTCATTCTGACTCCAGCAGATATGATGCAACTCCAGTCATCATGTGACTTTCAGGCTGTCAGTTCAGATCATCTGGATCTAACTCCTGTACATGACATGCTGTCATCTTGCTTATACCAACACACACACACCCAAAGCCAGAGCCATTGCCTTTCCCCCACATCGTCCAACTTCTAACACGCCATAACTCGACAGACAGACAGGGTTTAATGTGCTATTCGGTTTCCCTTGCCCTAAAAGTGCTGCCAACTCAACCGGTTGCTGTGAATCAAGACAAAATTTATGCCTGCAGAGAAGGCAGATTTGTGCAATCTCTCCATCATTGAAAAAGGAATTTGCCCAGCCCTTCAGGTTCCTGACTCCTCAGGGTGGCGCCCTCCCGTTCTGTCCTGGTTGTCCATCTTAAGGGAGGCTCCGCCTCTCTCCCAGGATGCCACTCACCACGGCCGCCACATATGGGTTGCGATGGCAGGGGAGTTTGGCTGAGTCCAAGGGCCGGGCGGATGGGGTGATGGTGTCGCGACGGGAGAGGCCCGTGACCAGGACTGTCGAGTGATTGTGCGGGACTCGGGAAGAGGCGGTGTCAGTCCCGCGGACCTCTGAGGCGGTGGCGGTGCCCGTAAAAAGGAGGATGGGGGGGAGAGGGCAGGGACCGCTTTGTGCGGGCGACTCGGTCTGGAAGCGGTTGCGATAGAAGGCCTGAGCCCCGGAGTCTGTTCCAGCTGCCGCAAGATCCGAGACTTCATCTCCGGGTCCAAGGAGGGGTCGGCTGAGCTCAGGAAGGAGCTGACTGCGTTGATGCAATGGCGGTAACCAGCAGCGAAATCAGGGCTGTTGGGGGAAGGAGGAGCAGCGGCGCCTGGGAAGGAGGCAAAATCAGGCATGTCGGTTTCCCTGATGCTCCTGGTGAGTGCTGTCCCCCCCATGCTCCCCACACTGTCTGGACGGGGAGAAAGGGTCTCTACCTTGCTTCTTGTACTGCTGAAGCTGCTGCACCGTCATCTCCAGGATCTGGGCTTTCTCCAAACGGGACAGAGCCCTGGAGTTCTGTGGAAGACCGAAAATTAAAACCGAAGCCTTGATTTGTAAAGCTGATCTCGGATGGATTACTGGAAGAGTTGTGGACAGCTGCACTATACAAGGCACTGTATACTATGCTGGCTTTCTGCTAGCTCCTGGCAGAAGTGGGTGAGTGAGATATCACGGCTAGATCTGCAGTCTATCAATAAGTGGGTTTTGGGTCGCAGTTTGGGCACTCGGTCTCTAAAAGGTTTGCCACCACTGGTCTCGGTCTCTACCTTGCTTCTTGTACTGCTGAAGCTGCTGCACCGTCATCTCCAGGATCTGGGCTTTCTCCAAACGGGACAGAGCCCTGGAGTTCTGTGGAAGACCGAAAATTAAAACCGAAGCCTTGATTTGTAAAGCTGATCTTTATTACTGGAATGGATGGATTACTGGAAGAGTTGTGGATAGCTGCACTATACAGGCACTGTATACTATGCTGGCTTTCTGCTAGCTCCTGGCAGAAGTGGGTTAGTGAGGTATCACGGCTAGGTCTAACGCTCCAGTTTTACAGAAAGAGAAAAGCCGTCCTGTCTTGAGTGTGTT